ATTCGGGGAGAAATAACATGAGCTAAAAACTCAATGAGTATTAAGTTAAAGCTATAAACTTGAGTTTTAGAACCCTTAGACCAACACACTCAGATGGCATAATATACAATTAAGACAAGTCACATAATATTATAAGTCTTATTATTTAAATAACAGCTTAGCATGGTGCAGAATAATTCATGAATAATCAAATATGTCAAAGAAAAGCCAATGACAATTAATTCAAATTCACAACATAAGGCCTTATGCTCACAAATGGAATATCACAATCAGAATGTATATAACAAAAATCACACAATGTTATGAAGTCCATGATGTGTGCTAGTAACATTTGTACTGGAGTTAGTCACGACAGTCACCCTATTGTGTAAAGGTTCACTAATTACCCTAGAGGGTCCACTAATTACCCTAGATGGTCCACTAAATACCCCAAGCTTTAAGCTTAGGTTTACTTCATAGCCATAAACACATACACACATCAAACACATTCAAAACACATCCAAAATAATCTAAGAATATAATTCCATATATTAATTCATTTGAATAATTGCATTCTAAAGTAATTCACATTAATTTCTTTATGCTTACACTTGGTTCATGGTTTCCACCCATAAGAATGGTAAAATATTTCTTACTTAAACGATGCAATTAATGAACATGAACACACATCAACAACACTTAAGTACCATGTCACAAAGAACACCTAAAATTCTAGTCTAAAATATAGATTTTGTTTGATTATGTTAATCCCTAAGAGAATCATCACACACAACATGCATAGAAAATTCATGGTAACAATAAAAATATTTGACTATAGAAGTCACACTAATTTCAAGCATGAAAATAAAACTCACTTCTAGATTCTATCCTCAAGACCTATACATTTGCTATAACATTAATATATTTCTAATAAATTTCTAATACCAAAAAATCTTTTAAATAAAGGATTTTAGGTCATATGTCACTAACCAAAACTAATTCTTGGTATATTATAGCAAATTTATAACCCACCTGAAACTCTAACTCAAATTCATAGCTAAAACCTATATTTATCCATGAAAATTAAAGCACTAACTAGGAGAAGATTTCAAAAATTGAGAGAAAATCCAACTAAACAATGCGTCCTTACACAGCCCCAACAAATGTACACCAACTCGGCTAAAAATGAAAGGTGTAAAGGAATAGGTTTTGTTTTCGTCTGAAATCTCCCAAAGGAAGCTCCCATGGATCTTGTAAGACTCTCTAAGTTCAAGAATGAATTTGTTTGGTAAATTTTGTGCCACATGTGACAAAAATGATATAATGAAGTTGGACATCCTCCAATTTCTACTAAATTTTACTTAAAATCCCAAAACTTTCTATTTAACCAATTTAGTCTCTAAGACTTTAAAATGAAGACCTCTAATTTGTATTTTATTTACTAAAGTATATGGGTGCCTAACACCCAACACTCTAAACATTTAACTCTAAAAAACTAAACTTAATTAGACCTTGGACACTGAACCCTAAAAAAAAAAAAAATTAAACCCTAACGCTTAACATTTAACCTCAAAATATTTAAGCCATAAACACTAGAGAAATTAGTGGACTAAGATTTAATCTATAAAGTATTTGGACCAATCAATAATTAATCACAAAAAATAAATGAATGAAATGACGGAGGGACGTTTTTCATCCATTTGTGAAAAGGAAAATGAAGGTAATGGATGACAGACGACGGACGTGTTAGCTGTCTGTCTGTTCTCATCCTTCTCCCTTAAATCGACAAGTATGCAATTGTATATGGACTGCCCATTTATATAGCCTTCACTGTTTTGTTGTTTGATGAATAAAATTTTATAAGTACATCATTGGGAAAAATCATTACAAACTCATTCGATTATAAAATATTATTTTAATTTTTTTAATAAGAATTTATCGAAAGAACGTAGTGTTAGAGTGTTCTTTTATTACTTTTTTAAATGTCCAAATAATAAACATTTTTTCTTATATATATAAAGTTTATTTTTTTACAGTTAAACACAAAAAAACTAACCATTGATTGGGGGAGGATTACCCTACATTTAAGATTTCTCCCCCATTAAAGGTTGAGATTGTGCAATTTAGTGTGGATTGAAATGTATAACACCCTTTTATTGTATATAAGGAAATTAAATTGTTTTGTATGATGGACAACTTGAAAATGCCATCTTTTAATTAATATTTTAAAAATCAATTAGTGAATTAAAAATTTTATTCATAAAAAATATATATCAATTTTAAATTAATATAATAAATCTAATCAATTCATTGATTATATAAAATTTAATATTATTAAATATATATTATAGGTTTTTTATCACAAGTTATAAATGTTAGATTAATTTAAAGATTGATTTGTGTAATTTGTATAAATAAAATATTTAACACAACAACTAAGTTTTGAAAATATTAATTATAAGATAAGTTTTAGACAAGTTCTCAAAAAGAAATCAAGAAGACAATTTGCACTACTCTGGCTATGTGTGTGTGTGTGTGTGTGTGTGTAGGGTTAGGATCTAGTTCTACACAACTCTTACACATATCACTGAGTAAATCTTGACAATTTTATCCCTACATTTTGAATGATTGATATTTATTACAACATTTTAAATGAAAAGGAATTTATCTTTAAAAAAAAAAGATAAAAAGTAGATAAATCTTAACCATTCATGGTGAAAAAAATGAATAATTAAGATTTTATATAAATATATGTATAAAAATCATGTGAGTGGATCTTGAATTGTTGAGATTAATTATTTTTTTATATATAAAAAGGACAATTATCTTTAAAAAAATAAAATAAAAAGTGAATAAATCTCAACTATTTATAATAGAGAGATAAATTATCAAGATTTTGTGCAAAAATTGTGCAAGCCTATTTAACTCTAGAAGGAAAGAATATTGTTCATGGATGTTTTTGTAAAAGTTCAAACTTGGACTCAAGTAATTTCCATGTCACGAAGACCTGCTTTGATCTAAGCACCTATTAATGCCTTCAACGTGCATTTATCAAAAAGCCAGTAATATGTGATGCTGTAATATATGACTAGGATCATCAATAAACCCATGAATCCCAGCTCATGAGAATCATTCGGGATAAACTATAGGAGTAATGGCTTGGCAGGCCTAGATGGATGAATGTTACTTGTCTGGCAAAGCGAGGTATTCGCACCAGTGAAGCTTGGCGCTGGCAATGTTGCCTGACTTCGCCAAAAAAGGTTGGGTGGCGAAGACATGGAGGCTGAGCTTGGTCATAAAGCCATACTATTTGATGTTAAATAAAAGCTTAAAATCCCGTTCAAAACCAACTAGAGATGCTGTTTTAGTCACCATCAACAACTTGTAGCTATATTCAATGTAAAAGATGGCTGCACAAGTTCCATGGTTTTGGGAACTGTTGAAAAAGATCTAACTTCATTGGGAAAATCTACCAAAATCTTGGGCAGACCTTGGGAAATCTACCAATATCTTGGGCAGCCCTTGGAAATCTACCAAATTTTAGCTAGATCTGATTTTGCTTGTTGCACTCAATTATCGCCCCAAAAATGGAATTTCGTATGGCTGGAGAATTACTAAAAATAGACAATCTTCAGCAAATTAGCAATACTTCGCTGGAATTGGCGATGCTTCGCTGGAACTGGCGGTGCTTCGCTGGAACTGGTGGTGCTTCGTTGGAACCACTAGATAATTCATAATATCACTACCAAAAAAGCTGTCAGCAATGCCCAAAGTCACTCAAAACTCGACAGCTCACCCAAATCTGCCCATTAGGCCACTGTGCACCTCTGGCCCATCAACCCAGAAATTACAAAAATGCCATAGCACATATATATATATATTATTTTCCCTTCATTTTTCAGCAGATTTGAACAATTTTCATAGCTCTAACTTTCTTCCTCACGTATCAAAACTCCCATTTTTCCTTTAAAAAATCCCTCATCTTCAACCTCTCCCCAAATACACCAAAAATACCCACAAACCACCATTTTCATTATATTTTCTACACTTCTAGCACTACTGAACAATTTCCAAACTTGCAAAACATCATGGCTGGGAGACAGCATACTGTAGATTCATTTTCTAGGTTATCTTCATGAGCATCAAAGGATCAAGCTGAAGAGTTAGCATCAAAAACAAGATCAAGCCCTTTATTCGCAAGCCCCCACAACAGTCATCCTTCCTTCTCCCATCACTACTTTCAAGTTTATTCCTTTTGTTTTGCTAAAGCTTGAAGGAGACCATTGCACCTTTTATCTACAATGTGAGGGTTGCTTATTATAGAGTTGAAGTATTTGTCAAGGATAATAGATGGCACATTCATTGTCTTTGCTATTGTGCTACAATATACTATGTAAAAATGTACTTCTCAAGTTGTAATTTTCAACCCTTACATATTTTCTACCCTTGCTACTCCTATAGCATTATACATTTCATTTTGATTATTTTTGGTAGTTGTGTAATCATTCTTGTTATCCTTAGAGCACCATCATCACTCCACTCTTTCTGGCTTGGCTAGGGGCATTCTATTTCCGATCTTTGTTGGAGAAACTCTACTCTCAAACTTCGTTGGAGAAACTCTACTCTTGAATTTCATTGGAGAAACTCTACTCTTGGACTTCGTTGGAGAAGCTCTATTTTTGGACTTCATTGGAGACTCTACCTCTAGACTTCATTGGGGGATTTGTTGCTGACCAACATCATTGGACATCTTGGAGCTCTATCGTTGCTGTTAGCTTTCCCTCTCAGCTTGGTTGGAAAACTTACACTTTCAGACTTTGCTGGAGAATTTGTTGCTGACCAACATTGCTGGGTAGCACGAGACGGCCCGTGGCACGTAGCCTCTTGCATGAGAAACGGGTGCCACCAAAAAGACCCTCCTCATCATTCGCAAGTGGCATCCTAGTCAACCTTCACATCATCATCGTTGTTGACTCATCAACCTACATCACCAACACACCCCAACAAAAAATGGCAACTCCACTAGGGAGGTCATCTTAGAGTTTCGTCTTGTTTTGCCCTTCTTCGGTGGTATATCATCTTTAGTATTCTTTCTCAGCGATATTTATTCATCTTCAGCAAGATTTTTCCAACCATGCCTGTCATGAGAGCAACTTCATCTCACATCGCTAACGGAAACCAAAAGCCTAGCCAAGATGATGGACAGGGAGTTCAGCAGCCATGTCCACCACCACACATTTTTTATGATATTTTGCGAGGAGTCATTGATCTTAATCTCGCATCTCTAATCCAAGTTATTTGGGTCTTGCACGAGAATCAACAAAGAACTACTCAACTTCTTGCCAACTTACAAGCTCAACATGCTGTGCAAGATTCAACGCAACCAGTCAACATGGCTAGGACGTCCCAGCCACAAGAGGTCCAAACTAGGGCTACCGATAGCATTGGGGGCTTTGTTGCGCAGCCCAGTAACGCAGCAGCACCAACAGTCGTAACCGCCAACATCGACAGAGCTTTACCTAATGCAGTCAATTCCACTCAAGGCTTCGTCACCATGCCAGATCTTACTGCTCTCTTAGACAAAGTTAAGCCACTTTTCAGTTCATCCATGATCCACCTTATCCAAAGGAGATTCTGTCCAGGCCTTACCCAAAGAACTATGAAAGTCCTACATTCCCACAATATGATGGGAGAAAGGGCAGCGGTGTAAAGCATGTCAACAAGTTCCTCGATGTCCTAGGGGCTCACGTCGATGATAAAGACTTGTGCCTACGTGAGTTTTCTAAATCTCTTTCTGATAGAGCTTACACTTGGTATACTACTTTCCTCCCTGGCTTTATTTGCTCTTAGGATGAAATGGTTGAGGAATTTTGTCAAAAATATTTTCAAAGTGAAGAGCGCATCACCATTCTTGATCTTTATCATACTTGCCAATGCGTCGATGAAGATTTAATGGTTTATGTAAAAAGATTTAGAGATTTGGCACTTGATTGCTATGGTAGCCATGTTGAATCTTTCTTGGTGGAGATCTGCATCAACAACATGTTCCTAGAATATCATGCTATCCTTGAAAATATTGGGATCAGTCAGTTTGCAAGGCTACTCAATGTTGCCGGGAAAATAGCCATTTCTGTCAAAGCTATCTTTGTTAGAAGTCTGTAGTGAAGTCGATAGAAAAGAAGGCCACTGCTCACACCTCAATTATCCATGCAAAGCAAAGCAGAATGTCTAGCTTTTGAAGCCAAGAATGAAATATCCTATAAGCACTTTATGTCTCATGGAAAAGCTGATTATCTTACATCGCTAGACAAGCTTGCTTATCACTTTGCTTCATTGACATTATAGTGTCATGGCTTCAAACCAATTGGCGGTGGCATTTGAATCTTTTAGATTTGCTTATACATCAAATGCATTGCTAGCACTTGAGTCACATTGTTGCCAACCTACCGGAAATGTTACTTCTCTTACATAGCCAATATTAGTGCCTTTGTGAGGTTTGCTGGTAGTGTTATCTTTCATGGCCATTATTGTTGCCTCTTCAAGGCCTGGTGACAATACTTTCTTTTATGGCCAATATTAGCGATATCATCTTTCTTGACCAGTATTGGTGCCTCTTCAAGGTATGCTAGTGATGCATCTTCCAGGTCTACTAGCAGTGTTATCTTTCTTGGCCAATGTTGCTGCATTATTAAGGCTTGTTGGCGATGTTACCTTTCATGACCAGCATTGGTGCCTCTTCAAGACATGTTGGCGATGCATCTTCAAAGCCTACTAGTATCATTATCTTTCTTGGCCAGTACGGCTGCACCTTCAAGGCCTATTAGCAATGTTATCCTTCATGGCTAATATTGGTGCCTCTCCAAGATTCACTGGTATTGTTATTTTCATGGCTAGTATTTTAGCCATCCTTGGTTTGTTGGCAGCATTTTTTATCTCTCATGGCTAGTATTTGTGTCACATCAAGACCTGCTAGCGATGCTGCTCGATCATCTCTTGGGTGGCATTTGTGTCACAATAAACTTATTATGTGATGGTGGTTCCTCTCCTATAAGCAACATTTATGTCATCCTCGACTTGCTAATGGTGTGTTCTTCTATGGCTAGCGTTTCTTGCTAGTGGTATGTTTACACTTGATGAGTACTTTTGCTACTTTGATGAAGTGCATCAACACTGGGGGTTGAAGAATATGGCTACTCATGGAACAAATAGACCAAGCTCATCACCATAATTATTGGCTGTTTGAACATAATTCTGACAAAATGGGTGACTTATCAGAGCAACTTCACTAGGTAACTTTTCTAGGCAACTTTGTTGGGCAACTTCGCTAGGTGACTTCGTTGGAACCTCGGTGCTCTTTCTCTTAGCTGAGTAATTTCATATGTGCTTCAACTGATTTCAACATCACCTCCAGCTTAAGCATCAGCTCTTTCATATCAGCCAAGGATTTCTACACATTTTCAACATGCTTCGCTGGCATGTCAATTTACTCATCCCAATTGCCAACTATGTCACTCCCAGTCATGTTGAACTTGCCTTTGTCAAGGTACGCCTTCACCAGCCTAAATTCCTCCAACTTTGAAACTAATGCTCTTGGCATCATTTATGGCATCCCTACACAAATGAAATAATTCCTCATCCATCTCAACAAAGGGAGTTACTTTCTTAGCCTAGTTGCCTATGCCATCTTTATCACTCAACTTGGTTGGAACCGAGAAACATTTGTTCTCAGACATGATTTTTCTAGAGCTAATAGCCTTTTTTAATATGCTCTTAACTGGTTCATCAACATCTATCTCGTCTTTGTTGGGAATGGATTCTTTTAAAGTTGCAGCCAAGTATGGCATGCCTTTATCTGGCATAGCTTTTTATGCCAACTTCGACATCAAACATGGCATCATCTTCATCTTCACTCTCATGGTTGGATTTATGGTTACCTCTTGATGCTTCATCATTCTTGGTGGATTTCACGTCATCGTCTTTGCTGGACTTTTGGTTAGGCCTCTACAACAGCTTTCTTGCCTTTATCTTCATTGGTAGCAACTTGAATCCCAACCATATCACCCTCAACATCTAGCAAAGCAAGCAAGAGCGAACTATTCAACAAAGATCCTATTTTTCTAGAGGAAAAGTTGAAGACTTCTTTGTCGCCAAGACAACATCATCAACTTTAAAAGGAGGTGATTCTTTTGGCTTGGTCTATTTCCATAAAAGATGGCTAAATGGAAAATGGATGGCTCCAACAATGACGAAAATGTTTCATGGCTGTTAAAGAACAAAAAAAAAAAAGGAATGAATACATAATAATAGGAGTTTTTGGGATTAATTGAATATCTTTTGAAAGTTGAGGGACTGAGTTGCAAGAAGAAAGTTGCTTCTTTGGGACCTAAATGAATGAATCCTAAGTTTTAAAATCTAAGTGCTCATCATTTGAAATCTGGAGGACCAGTTCTGCAATTTTATTCAAAAGGAAGGGTATGAACCTAACACAGGTGTTAGTATCGACACATGATTCATAGTGTTCGCACCATGTGTTCAACGTCCAAGATTCAAGTTTCCTATTCTCCTCTTGTCTACATCTATACCAAAGGCAAAAGTTTTGAGCTGCACGTGCCTTTGTTCTTTTGTCATTGCACTTTAGTTGCAAATGATGCGAAATCATTCAATCAAAGATATCATCAATCAAGCCAACTATGCTATCAAGTAGCAAAGGCTCATTTGCTTCACCAACAATGATCTTGTAGCAGACCGTAGGCTTCGCCAGAGCTTTGTTCATATTCTTCATCGAAGCCTCCTCCATGTTCTTCACCGGAGCCTCCTTCATGTTCTTCATTAAAGTCTCCACATTCTTGCCCTCCTTTGCCTTGGATGAAACTACATCATTGCCAAGAATAAGAATGGAGTCCAGCCCTTCGCTAGAGGATGGGGGGTGCACATACAAACAATGACTCACATATGATGGTTTCTTAGTGATGTCAACAATGATAGAAAGCTTGTTTGATTATGCAAGGAAAGCTCATTAGTGCCCACACCTACCTTATCTTCATTTTCCTTAGGCATTTTAGCTTCGTGAGACATGGATGCTTTCACTTTGATTTGTTTTTTGGCCAACAAAGCACCAAACTTGTGAGCTTCACTCTTGGATTGCTTGGCCATACTTCTTCTATTGCCTGATGCTGGTTTCTTAGAAAGAATTACTTAGTTGATTTCACCTACAAAATTGCAAAAACAACTTAAGTGCAAAAGTCTCTCTATTATATCCAGCCATGCCAAGACCTCAAATGGAAGAAGAATTGAGGCTTAAAGCAAAAAAGAAGAAGTCTATTTACCTCCAAGCTTAACATTGCTAACCTCCTGTCCTTGCTCTGGCCATGTTCATCATTCCAAATTCTAAGCGTGGGCAATCACACAATGTTTTCGCTCTATATAGCTGTGGTGACATCAGCAATGTAAGGCCTTACTCCACATGGCTATAGCAACATCAACGATATAAGGCCGCATGGCCAAGTCCCAATTAGAGCTGTCTAAGAAAAGAGGTGGTAGAACATCTAAGTCATAGCCAAATTGCCATGCAACTCTCTCTACGCAATAACTTATGAGATCCCGCAATCTTTCTACATGATAAATGAGAGCATGGATGGTGTAATCACAAACCAATTTCTCTAAGTGGCTTGCATCACCTCCAGCGAAGTCTATTATTCGGTTTCCTGGCACTATTGTAATTGTCTTGTCAAAGAAGCTTAATTCCAATGGTGCAAGCATCCTCAGCATTGTCTTGTATGCATGAAAGTTAGAGTTGACATGATTGCTAATAAATTCATTAGCATTGGAAGAGATTTACCTCTTTATCTTCCTCTTCCCTATTTTTAAGCAACACAACGAAAGCTTCATACTCTTAGCCCAACTTATGGCTGAGGGTTAAGGGAATTTCAACTCCATTTATTCAAGAAAGGAAGTTAATTTCTCAATTGCTAATGACTATCTTCAAAGCAGCTTCAACTTCTCTTTGGCTGTTGATTATATGCATAATGCGAAAAAAAAATCTCTACTTGTTGTATCCCACTCCAGATCCATTATTTTTCAAAGGGGAATTGCATCATCACTATTAGAACTCCAACAATGACGTGACTAAGGCCAACATTCCAGTCATATATCTACAATGTTCAGAGTCATCAACCAGGTACTTCTAAACTGCATCTATCATCTTCAATTATGCAAGTAAATCTACTTAAAGAGGCTTAGCTAAACATGAAGATACTTTATCATATACAAAAAGCCTCTAATTTTGTGAATATTTTTTGAGCTTCATCTCTGCTACTTATCATCATGGTTGAATTTGGCTCTATTCCATCCATGTTGGAGTATCATCATCAACAATATTAAATTTCTTGGCTAGAGTCTTGCTCTAGCCATGCTCGATCCTATCCATATCAAAGCATCGTCATCAGCAATATTAGATTCCTTGGCTGGACTCTTACTCTAGCCATGCTCAATTCTATCCATGTTAAAGCATGCTCATAGATGGCATCAAATTCCTTGGTGAAGTTTTGCTCTAGCCATGCTCGCTTGTATCTTTGTTAGAGCTTCATCAACAATATCAAATCTCTTGGCTGGAATCTTGTTCTAATTGTGCTTGAATCCACCTTTGTTGAAGCTTCATCAACAACATCAAATTTCTTAACTGAAGTTTTGCTCTAACTATGTTTGAATCGCTCACGACGCATCTACCTCAACCAGGGTTCACTGACTTGTCTCTACAACAGACATGTTATGTTATATTTCTTGTTGATAATTGCAATAAAGTCAGCATCGCTAGAAGCAGTACTCAACATTATTCTCCTATATATCGCTAGGAGTGGCATTTACCCACTTCGTTGGGAATGATACAAACATGTTCTACTTTAGCGACATTTTTTTACACATGGCTAGACATGGCTACATTATCTGCACAACATGGCTGGGCATTTTTTACGATCATGTTCTCTACAATAATATTTACTGGTGCATCTTTCTAGCTTACATTTATCTCCACAACATGGTTGGACGTTTTTTTATGGTCATGTCCTCTACAGCGATGTTTACTGCTATATATTTTGGCCCCCAACAATGGATAAAAAGCCTATTTTGCTACGTGGTGCCCATCAAAGGACAACGAGCTAATCTGTATAGCTCCCAATGATGAACAACCGGCCAAGCATCTATTTCTACATATCTCTATCACTGGTTCCCATCAATGGATAACGAGTTGATCTTATTATATCTACATAGCTCCTAGCAATGGACAAAGGGCCAAATTTGTTATCTCATTTAGCCTCCAACAATGGTCAAAAGGCTACACATTTCTACATATCTTCATTACATCGGCTCTTAATAATGGACAAAGGGTCAGATCTCTACATATTATATCTTACTGGTTCTCGAAAACAGACAAAGAGTTAGCGCAACTTGGTACAATTAGTGTAAGGCCAATAATAGTTGCAACCCTATGATTGGATGGGATGGCTACCCTCCAGCAATAAAATTCCATCAAGTAGAGGCCGACGATCCCTTGGTGGTCACCCGTGCATGGTGGTGCGGTGTTCAGCGGGCAACAACAACCAAGACCACCCTCTGACGGTGTAGGTATAGTAAGAAAGGCCAACATTTGTCAACGGTATTACAGCTTGTCGTATAGGAGGCCATGGATGCGGCTAGCGTCCCTCTTCCATGGAGACAACTCCACCTCTCTTTATCACATATTCATCACTATGGCGGAGTCTGGCTTAATGAGATTTACCCCTTCGCAACTTGGCGAATTAGTGGAAGTGCTCTTCTGATTCCACATAGTTCACGCTTCAGCCATGGACAAAGCTAGCCAGTATTGTCCCTCTAGCTATGGGAAAGCTATTCATGGCTGACCCTACAATGCTTATACAATGGTCAATGGTCATGTACTTCATTATTCTTCTATATAAAGGGACAAAATTACCGATCATTGACATTCTCGATCCATAACATATCTACTCTATATTTTGTGTTAGTAGGTATCGCTGACCAGTAATCCTTGGCTCAGGACAACGATATCGCAACACACATCCATATTACTCATTCTTTATTTTGGCGTAACACCAAACATACACAACAATGCTATACAAGTGCTTCCTATGACAAATGGACAAAGAGGCACAACAATGTATACATACATCTTCTTCTTTGATGCATGAAGGAGGTCAGCGAAGCTCTCTAGCCAACCTAATGATATTCAACATGGCTAGCAATCATGAACACACAATTACATATTGATACATCTTCAATAGTCTATCATGGAGAAGAAACATTATCAAGGCCTAGAAGGCTCACATGGATAGATTTCGTCCACTATGACTTATTTACTACATCACTTGGATAAAAGGTCCATCTTTGCTAGAATACTTTATCTTGATCAAAAGAACCATCTTTGTTGGAATACTCCATCTCGATCAAAAGATCTATCTTTGTTGGAATACTCTATCTTGGACAGGAACTCCATCTTTGCTAGAATACTCTGTCTTGGATAGAAAGTCTTCTTCAACATGTTGGGTCGATTACAAATACATCAACATATGTGTACTCATTTAATCATCATCATCATCTTATCATCTTTGGCAAAATGAGGGCTCAACAAAGCTTGTTGGCCTAGACCTACAATTATAACAAGGCTATGGAGAGTCTTCATCTTTACTTCATCTCTTGAACGAGTTATCCATCATTGTTGGTTCTCACATTCCTCGAATGGAGGTTATTGCTCTGCTTCACATATTTCACTTGGCTTGAGCAGTCTACTATGAATTTAGCAACTTGCAGCTTATGGCTAGGTTTTCATCACTATTTAAGTCATCTATCTTCACCAGACAACTTCTTAATGTCAAGTCACAAAAAACAAAAAAAAAAAAAAAAAATGAAGAATTACAAATACTTGCTTGATGAGCACGTACATGGGAAATTTAAAAAAAAAAAAAATTTCATGGCTGGAAGATTATATTACTAGTATTACTTTCCAACAAAGCTGATCAATGTTCACCTCTACCGTTGTGACTTCAACTCTTTGCTCAATTTTAATCAAATGTTATCCTCCCCACAGTTGGGTCAACAATATTTTTCAGCTATGATGATACAAACGACATGGCTATGAACAATGCTCAACGCCTTCATTCCCCAACGTAGGAAAATTCTTTATAAGCTCAACCAAGCTGCTAAAGGAGAGCTTTACAACAATCACCCTCATTATTCTTATCATCATCATACAAGCAACATAAGGATGGGTCTATTCTCTGGCAAAGTCAAACTTCCAAGTTTGGCAAAACATGGCCACATTTCTTCAACTTGTTGCATAATAGAGATATTGCTGGATAGCATCGAACTCATCCAATATTTGGTAAAGTTTGGGCATTCAACTCTATCAACTACAAGCGCGAAGACTTTGTTATCACAATTCTCCTCGCTTGGGGGGCTAATGTTGATGGATGTTCTTGTAAAAGGTCAAACTTGGACTCAGGTAGTTTCCATGTCACGAAGACTCGCCTTAATCTAAGCACCTATTAATGCCTTCAACATGCATTTATCACAAAGCCCAGCAATATCTGATGCTGTAATATATGGCTAAGCCCAACAGTATCTAATGCTGCATACATGGTTGCATCACCAGAAATATATAAGGAAGTCTCTTTCCTTTATTATTTCCTTATTTATTAAATCTCATCATCTTCAACAACTAATTACTGCTTCTACATGCAGGTCATCAATAAACCCATGAATCCAAACTCATGGGAATCATTCGGGATAAACTATGGAAGTAGTGGCTTGGCAAGCATGGGTGGGTGAACATTGGCAGTTTGGCAAAGCGAGGTATTCGCACTAGCAAAGCTTGGCATTGGCGATATTGCCCGACTTCACCAGAAAAGGCTAGGTGGCAAAGACGTGGAGGCTGAGCTTGTCATAAAACTATACTATTTGATGCTAAATAAAAGCTTAAAATCCCATTCAAAACCAATTAAAGATGTTGTCTTGGTCACTATCAGCAACTTGCAGTTGTGTTTAATCTAAAAGATGGTTGCACAAATTCCATGGTTTTGGGAACTATTGAAAAAGATTTGATTTCGCTGGGAAAATCTACCAAAATATTGGGCAAACCTTGAGAAATCTACCAATATCTTGGGTAGCCCTTGGAAATCTACCAAAATTTTGGCCAAATCTGATTTTGCTGGTTGCACACAATTATCCCCCCAAAAATAGAGTTTCGTATGGCTGGAGAGCTACTAAAAAAGGACAATCTTCAGCAAATTAGCAGTACTTCATTGGAACTGGCGTTGCTTCGCTGGAACTAGTGGTACTTCGTTGAAACTGGTGGTGCTTCGTTGGAACCACTAGATAATTCATAATATCACTATCAAAAAAGCTGTCAGTAATGCCCAAAGCCACTCAAAACTCGACAGCTCACCCAAATCTGCCCATTAGGCCACTGTGCACCTCTAACCCATCAACCCAGAAGTTACAAAAATGCCACAACACATATATATATATGTATTATTTTCCCTTCATTTTTCAACAGATTTGAACAGTTTTCATAACTCCAACTTTCTTCCTCACATACCAAAACTCTCATTTTTCCTCTAAAAAATCCTTCATCTTCAACCTCTCCCCAAATGCACCAAAAATACCCACAAACCACCATTTTTATTATATTTTCTGCACTTCCATCACTATTGAACAATTTCCAGACTTGTAGAACATCATGGCTAAGAGACAATATACTGGACATTCATTTTCTAGGTTATCTTCATGAGCATCAAAGGATCAAGCTGAAGAGTTAGCATAAAAAATGGGATCAATCCCTCTATTCGTAATCCCCCACAACGGTCATCCTTCCTTCTCCCATCACTACTTTCAAGTTTATTCCTTTTGTCTTGATAAAGCTTGAAGGAGACAATTGTGCCTTTTATCTACAATGTGAGGGTTGCTTATTATAGAGTAGAAGTATTTGTCAAGGATAATAGAGGGCACATTCATTGTCTTTGCTATTGTAATACAATATACTATGTAAAAATGTGCTTCTCAAGTTGTAAGTTTTAACTCTTACATATTTTCTATCCTTACTACTCCTACAACATTATACATTTCATTTTCATTATTTTTGGTAGTTGTGTAATCATTTTTGTTATCTTGGGAGCACCATCATCACTTCACTCTTTCTGGCTTGGCTAGGGACATTCTATTTCCAGTCTTCACTGGAGAAGCTTTATTTTCGAACTTCACTAGAGAAACTCTACTCTCAGACTTCATTGGAAAAGCTCTATTTTCGGACTTCACTGGAAAAACTCTACTTCCAAACTTCACTGGGGGATTTGTTACTGACCAACATCGTTGGACATCTTGGAGCTCTATTATTGCTACCAGCTCTCTCTCTCTCGACTTGGTTGGAAAACTTACACTTTTAGATTTTGCTAGAGAATTTGTTGCTGACCAACATTGCGGGGCAGAACGAGACGACCCGTGACACATAATGTAACACCCCACATACCTTAGTGAATAATTTAAAAATTAGTGTCCTTTAGTTTATAGTTTTAGGGATTAAATTGATTGAATTTAAAGTTTGGGG